GGGTGCCTTAGTCCCAGCTACTTGGGAGGCTAAGGCAAGAGAATCACTTAAGCCCAAGAGTTTGAGGTTGCTGTGAGCTGTGACACCATAGCTAACTCTACCCAGGGTGCTAGCTTAAGACTCTGTCTCAAAAAAAAGAAAAGAAAAAAACAGAAAGAAAAAAATAGTATAACAACTATTTACCTAGCATTTGTATTGTATTAGGTATTATAAGTAAGCTAGAGATGATTTAACGTATACAGGAGAATGGGCATAGTTTAAATGCAAATATTATGCCATTTTATATAAAGAACTTAAGCACATGAGGATTTTGGTATCTGAGTGTGCATGTGCACACATGTATATGAGTGTCCTAGAACCAAACTCCCTCAGATATTAGAAGACGACTATGTAAGATGATAATAAAAAGAGAAAATTATTTTTGGAAAAAGTATATAGAGGTACCTGAATGCTTTCTGAGGACTCTTGCCAATTCTTCAATAGTCCTTACACAGTCCAACCCCTGAAAGAAAGATGATACAAACAGCTAAATCAAAGGTGGACAACAGGTTAATAAACTGGTTATAAACACTTTGCATTACCTTCGGAAATAATGGAATTAATTTCAACTCAGTCTAAATATATTTTCTCTTTTAGCTGAGTATCAAAATTAGCATTCCTAGGACTATCCTATGGTTACAAAAACAACTAAACACTGTAATTACTCTGTAATTGCTTTTGGACATGTAACAAAGGTAGGAAGGCTGTGAACCAGAACTTTCAAAAAAGTCTCTGAACCATGGTTGAGGATCGCTACTTTTCCCCCCCTCTATATAATTATATTATTTGTAAGTATCCCATGTGCCAGAATATATAAGAGGGGCTTCTGTGTCCCCTCTTATTTATTCTGTGTAGATTTTCAATATAATCTAAGAGTTGATTGAATTGCTATGGACAGTGTTTAAGCTCACATTATTTTCCTACAGAACTAGCCAAAGTAATAGCGTAGAAAATTACTATTATATAGCAAATATAAGTTAAGACATATAGCAAATATAATATTTCACATAACATTTAGGCTAACCCTATCAACAGAAGCCCTGTTAATGGTTATGTATATCCCAGTTTTACTTCATTTGAAGTTTTACTTCAGAAATGCCATCAAAACTACTTGATAAAGCCTGGCGTGGTGGCTCATGCCTGTAATCCTAGCACTCTGGGATTCTGAAAGGCTGAGGTGGGCAGATTGCTTGAGTAGAGGAGTTTGAGACCAGCCTGAGCAAGAGTGAGACCTAATCTCTAAAAAATAACTGGGCATCATGGGAGGTGCCTATAGTCTCAGCTATTTGAGAGGCTGGAGGCAAGAGGATCACTTGAGCCCAGGAGTTGGGAGGTTGCTGTGAGCTATGATGCCAGCGCACTCTACTGAGGGTAACAAAGTGAGGCTTTGTCTCGAAAAATTAAAACAAAGAAACAAACAAAAACTAGTGATAAGCCATGTTTAAAAAACCCCCCAAATAGCTGGCTATCTCAGTGGGTAGGGCGGTGGCTATGCACACCAGGGATGGTGGCAAGTTTGAACCTTGTCTAGGCTTGATTAAAAACAACAACTGGGCGGCACCTGTGGCTTAGTGAGTAGGGCCTCGGCCCCATATACAGATGGTGGTGGGTGCGAGCACGGCCTCAGCCAAACTGCAATGAAAATATAGCCAGGAATTGTGGCGGGTGCCTGTGGTCCCAGCTACTTGGGAGGCTGAGGCAGGAGAATCACCTAAGCCCAGGAGTTGGAGGCTGCAGTGAGCTGTGACACCACAGCACTCTACCAAGGGCGATGATAAAGTGAGAATCTGTCTCAAAAAAAAAAACAAACAAAAAAAACCAACAATAAATAAATAAATGTGTGTGTATTACACACATATACATATATAAACCCCCCCCAAACAAGAACAACTTTAACTTTGTATCCCAGGGTCATTCTATGTGATGAACCAACATTACTTTATTCACCTAATTCACACTAGATCACTTTTGACTGTTTTCCCAAATCACATATATCCTCAAAATATAAAGACTTGAAACTAAGGCATAAAGAGTCTTCAGTAAAAGGAGCATCATTCATTTGGATATTTGAACTGCTGTTAAAAAGAACAGACACTTAGCACTTCTCACATATAGCATTTTATATTTTATAAATGTCTTCAGATATATCAGAGGGTGGTAAACTTGTTCTCTTTTGTGGGCCATACTAAACTCTGCACTTGGAGTGAAAAGAGCCACAGACGATACATAAATAAATGGGTGTGGTTCTGCTCTAACAAAATTTTATCACAAGAACAGGAAATGGGGTGCTGAATTCAGCCCATGTGCCATAGTTTACCATTTTCTGACAAACTAATGACCTAATGTGTACAAAAATTGCCTGAGGCAAAAGGGAACAGAAATTATTTCCATTTCACAGATTATCTACTGAAGACCATGTCTCAAATCCAGGTCTCTGGACTATAAGGTTAGCCGTCTTACCATTTACCACATTGCCTCTCTGGTAAAAAAATCTTTACAGATAACCTTGTGTGGGTATGTGCCTCCAAGTCATCCCAGTGGCCCGGCCAACAGGACACTGGAGATGCTAGTGTGGCTTTGTAGAATTCCAAGATGTCACTTTGCAGTCCACTTTGTACTACACAGTAAGTACAACTTTTTCTACTCACATTCACCTCTAAGCTGCTTACTGTATTTGGCCAGAGAGGGTGCCAAATGATACACACCATATGGTATGCCCTGATAAATTTGAAAAATACTAAACTGTAATGTCAGTCAAGAGTGGTCAAATCACACTGCCACGGCAAATGGAAGTTTCACGCAGTCACTGTACCTCAGCAGTTTCAAGTCCATTAATTGTCATACAGACGTCAAGGTCACTCTGTTTGAACCCAAATCCATTTTTGGAGGAGCCAAACAAGCTCAATTTAGTTCCTGTTAGGATATATGGAAAGTAATAACTAATTATCTGATATATTTAATTTTTAATCAAAATGGCCCTCTTATGAATCAAAAATACCCAGTTAACTCTGCTATATTAATCTCATAATTATGTTCTTGTATTAACCATTTATTCCAAAATTTTTTCTCTCAAAGTTTCCTTTAAATAAATGTAAGCTGCATATGGCAAGAAAGACTGTCAGGTACAAGGAACATTTCAAGGAAAATGTTAGATCACATCATGGTATCTAATAACCATAACCTTACTACTGCTTTAGAAGTATGTGAACTTTGAGTCTAAATGTAATATTATATGAAATAAAATTCACTTGGGGCATCTGCTAAGATAAATGCTACACTGCTACTGGCCTTTAGGATTTGGCAGATCAAAGATATCCTAGGCATACCACAAAACAACTGAAACCTGACCCACCATCACCACAAGATCACTTTATTATTTTCATAACCAATGTGCTTGTTAACACATATACCATTCTTAAAGATAAAAACCTTACCTACCTGGAAAGTCCTGTCTTATGAAACTTTCTAGGTTTTGTCGAATATGTTCACGAGCCTGGTCTTCTGAAATAGTTGGAGAAAAATCTTCTGTATAAAACAGACACATTGAAAAAATAAGACTGTGGATATACTCTGAAAAACTTACATTTTTTAGAAAACTTAAAAGATTAAAAAAAAAAAAAGCCCACCTAACTGTTTGTGTGTTCTTAGTAGACAGCACTAGCAATGTAAAATAAAAATTGCCCATTTGTTAAGAGTATCACCAAGAACTGATCTTGAGGCTCGGCGCCAGCCACACACACCAGAGGTGTCGGGTTCGAATCCAGCGTGAGCCTGCCAAACAACAGTAACTACAACCAAAAAAAAATAGCCGGGCATTTCACAAACTGAAACAACAACCTGGTTTTTACTGGTAAAAAGCCAGTAAAAAAAGATGAACCCATGAGTGCTTTGGTAAAGTACTGAAGTTTCAATGGTCACCATAGTGCTTGCATTCATTTTGTGATAAGCTCTACTGTATTAGGCTAATTTTGTGCTTTAATAGCAATGTGGAATATAAGCTTCTTTAATTGCTTTTTAAAAGTAACCTACTGCTTAAAATTGCATTTTTACTAATAAGATTAACATGTATGCTTTTCCTTCAAACATTTAAATTGTTTAGAGCTATTTAGTTGCTATCACTTGATTAAAAGAAATTGCCTATTTAAAAAAAAAAATAGCTGGGCATTGTGGTGGGCACCTATAGTTCCAGCTATCTGGGAGGCTGAGGCAAGAGAATTGCTTAAGCCCAAGAGTTTGAGGTTGCTGTGAGCTGTGACACCATGGCACTCTACCCAGAGCGACATGGTGAGACTCTGTCTCAAAAAAAAAACCCAAAAAACCTGCCCTTGAAATGGAAATAAATTTGCACTGGGAGTCTGCACCTGGGTTTCCCAGAGACATATCCTACCCCTAAAACAAGAAAATGTCTTCTGGGAACCCCATCGAGTGTGAATATAGTTTGTGAACATTTGCATATATTTTTGTCTAAAGAGTATCTAGTTTTCTTTCATAGGCATAACCTCCAAAAAGATATTTTTTTTAATTAAAAAAAAAAATCACTGATTAAGAGCCAAGTGTGTTCTGGCACAGATGGATACCTCGTGGCCATGTGAAACAATGAGTTCTTTGATTCTAAGCAGCTAAATGAGGACTCTCCTTTAAATGTTTTCTCTTTTATAAAACTTTAAACTTATCTGTATCAAGCCTTCCCCAAACTGGTGTTCCTTAAAGGGCTCTTATGTAGGCTATTAATTAGGCAATGTGCCCTGGAAGTCTCTACAGGAAATTTACTACCCTAAGGGAGAAGGCAGTAAATAGAGTTATTACCTACTTGGCCCAAGAATATTTCTGGTCATGAAGTATTATTAACTACACCTAGAAAAACTTTTCAAGAAACACCAGCTGGGAAATGCTAGCACGTGAATCTTAAGACTTAAAAGGAGCAGGGCACAGTGGCTCATGCCTATAATTCTAGAACTTTGGGAGGTGGAGGTAGGAAGATCACTTAAGTCCAGGTACTCAAAAATAGCTTAAGCAACAAATAGATCTGAGTCTCTACAAAAAAAATCTTAAAAAAAAAAAGACTTAATAGGTCTTTCTTTATCTTTGACATGTATTGCCTGTCCCCCCAAAAACAAGCAAGACATAAAACACTGTGGATATCAGTGGATATCATAAAGAATGGAATAGACCTAGTTCCTATGTGTGCTTTGAGAGCTGAAAGGATAGTGATTCCAATGACTCTTAGAGTGAATATCAACTTAAAATTTCAACAAATCAAAAGAAATGGGAATAACTTACTGTAACACTGGATGCAAACTTGATCTAAGATATTCGAAAACTTGGGTGTTAGTGGTGGCAAGGGTTCCAGCTGGATTCTTTTGAAGTCATCGGGACAGTCCTTCTTCAGATGACCCTCTCGTTTGCACAAGCTACACACTACTGTAGGAGACTGTAGGAACACAGCAAAGCAAAACAAGCCTTAAGATAACACTTTCACTGCCAAATAATAGGGTCTGGAAACTTTTTCTTAACATACCTAGTCAACCTTTCACTTCCCAATGGAAAGAAAATAAAATATGCAACCACTCTAAATGATCCGAGAGATGGGGACACCCTATGGTATCCTCTGAAGAAAAAATAGTTATTTTCACTACTAATGGCATTCTTTTCCTCCTATGCAAATTCCCATGAATCTTATGGAGAAAAGTGGACCAAATGGTTGTATTAGAAAGAAAAACCAATTCACTAACCACACCAAAATAGGAAGACTTCTGTTCTAGTATATAAAAGCTGTGGGCCAGGTGTGGTGGCTCACACCTATAATTCTAGCATTCTGGGAGGCAAAGGCAGGTGGATTGCCTGAGATCATGGGTTCTAGCCCAGCCTGAGCCAGAGCAAGACCCTGTCTCTAAAAAAAACAAAAACAAAAACCATAGCAGGACATTGTGGTCGGCACCTGTAGTCCCAGCTATTTGAGAGGCTAAGCCTGGGAGTTTGAGGTTGCTGTAAGCTAGGGTGCCACAGCACTCTACCAAGGGTAACAAAGTGAATTCATTAAATAAATGAATAAAAGTCGAAATTACATGCATTAAAATTGCTTACAGTCTTCTAGTTCTAAGTCTAGTAAGAGCACTGATTACCTTGCCTTTGGTGAAGATAACTTTACTAAATTCATAGAAGAAATCAGACTGATCCACAGGTGAATTTTCCTCACAGATATTTTCTTCTTTAAGACTTATTTTATTAAGTTCTATTAGTAGATCTCCATCTACATGATTTCCACATTCCTTCCTGTTTTCATACTTAGCAGCCTCTCCTACTTCATCATCCTCTTCAGACAAGGCATCCTCATCCCCTGATCCAGTGTAGGTGTTGTCTAACTCATCTTCATTAGCAATGCCATCTTCATCTTCCCTTTGGTTAATGGCAAGCCTGGGTTCTTCTTCCTCCTCCTCTTCCTCCTCCTCCTCCTCTTCATCAGAGTGAATGATTTCTGATGTCTGGCCCTGCATTGAAGGGGCAAAGTGGTTTAGAGCATCCTCCAGTTCGTCAGTGCCTTCTATACTTTCTTCATCAACATCAGCCTTGTCATCTACAGTTGCAAATCCATCACATTGTTTAGCTGAAGGCTTCTGGATGCCTTCTAAATCCAAAGTGCTATCTGTTTCATTATTAAGAGTACTGCCACTGATTACCAGCTCTCCATGTCGGCTACTGCTTAAACCTTGATCAACAGTTGAAGGATGCTTGCTCCTCTTCTCAATTTTCTCTTTCTCATGTTTACTTCCTGCTTTTTGATGGTGTACTTTAACATCCTCATAATCATCACAACTGACCTTCGCCTGGATACAGTTGGAGTTTTCTAAGTGGACACTGATATATATATTTCCCATTTCCTCCACTGATGGGCTTCCATACCTTTCAGCAGTCTCTTTCAGAGTAAGTGGATGTACCTTACAGGTACTTGAACTGGCAGCACCAGGACCTGGAGCTAAAACTGAGTTTTTGAGCTTATCGTCTTTTGCTTGTACATCTGGGTTATGATTTACTATTTCATTAGAATGTTCTGAAGCACAAGTAACTACACCAAGAGGCTTTGAAAGGTTGGATTTTGTAATTTTGTGTGGAAGAGCAAAATATTTGTATGTTGTCCTTAAACAATGAAGTATATACTCAAACACAGGTTGGTTATTTAGAGTCCTTGCAACATTTCTTTTAACAGAGTAGGGATCTGTAATTTAAAAAAAAGAGAAAGAAAAAATCCACCACTTCATATTTAAAAAATTATCCTACTGCAGATAAAAACAGACAACAATAGTAATAAATTTATAATGTATCTTATATGCTTAAAAAATGGGACAGGAAATAAGAAAATATGGTTTAAGAACAAAAGCAACATTTTCTGATGCATCTGCTCTATGAAGAAAAAAACTCATTCTGTTCAGAACCAGTACCCCTTCCCTATTGTGCTCTGTGACTGTGGAGGTGGAAAAGATGTCATCAGTGTGGCTCTCATGCCCTCAGGAAGCAAGGTCTTCCCGACAGGCTCTGCTGCTGAGTGTTCTGCATCCCCACTCAGCCAGGCCCTGAGGTTTGTAAAGCTTACCTCCACTCTTCTGCCCTGGGAAGCCCCATCACTGAATTGGCTGGACTGAATTTCAGGGGCGAGAGGGAGGCACCAGGAGGAGACACCACTTCTCTCAATCTTTTCTCCTCCCCTAGAACTCCAGCAGGTTAGGCAATTGGCCAGAAGAGCTGAGCCAGAGAAACTGCAGGGGAGGGTTTAAAAATGTGAGATCCCCATGACTGCACATAGAATTTATGCAAAATGCAAAAAAACCCTTTTATGCAACATAAAGCTTGAAAAAAATCAAGCAAAAATAAAAGAATTCCATTTAGGAGGTTCTTTAAATTATTTAAAGGAGGAGAATTAAGATTTCTAGAGGGTTTCAACCTCCCGACTTTGCAAAGCTGAGAAGAGCTGGTCTATTTAATAATATCTATAGGGCATATCAGTGTGTCTTTGATATAATGATTCCAGTTAAATAAGCCTTCACTAAAAAAGTGTTTTTATGAGTAAGTTCTAAATGTTACTGTAGATAGGTCAAAAATAACCATTCACTCCCTGTATTGGACAGGAATCCAACTGAGAATGTCATTTTTCACAGGAATACACATTTTCCTCATTTTTGCAAAAGTAAACAATATCAACAATTTATAAAAGGACTGAGTTTAAAAATTCAGAATGAGAACTGTAAAGAGGAAAGACAGATTCAATCACTGTGATAAAAACACTTTTTAAGCATTTAAGTTGTTAAGCAATTTATAAAGAAAGCAAGGTCTCAACCAGCCACTATTCCAGTTGCTTATATTTTAAAAACCCAGGGTGAACAGGTTCATCTCTTGAAATGATCCACTGTAACACATGCAAGATTCTACCTATTTATTTCACCTCTGAGGTCAGGCCTACCGTACATGTGAAGCTGAAACAAGACTGAAATAAAAAGCATGCTGTTAGACAGGTACCTTAAAAAAGAGGGGTTAAAGATAAACATTGTTAGATACCTTCAATGGCAATGCGCTTTTTGGGCCAATCCTTTGATTCTCGAGATACTGATTCTTTGACACGAATACTTATCACTAAGTCAGCCAAATTAAATTCTAAAGCATAGAATCGCAGCATTTCCACCCAGAGTTGCCCAACTGATACTGAAGGCTGGTGTTTTATATCAAATATTAATGACACCTATCAACAGCAAAGAGAAATATACAGGTTATTTCAGATATAAGCACAACCCAAACACTTAAGAGAGCATTCAAACATCCAATTAAAAAATCTGAAAAACCTTTTCAGATTTAGATATAAAAGATATAAATGACAATACCTCTAGATAAATCAAATTCTGGGTTCTATTTTGCTTGTGGTAAAATAGCATTGTTTTACTACATTCGGAGGACTAGATGTTAAAATCCTCTCATTATCACAGGAGTAGACAGCATCAGTTTTCTGTTTGCAGTTTTTGGCTGGGGCTGGGTTTGAACCCGCCACCTCTGGCATAGGGGGCTGGTGCCCTACTCCTTTGAGCCACAGGCACTGCCCAGGATCAGTTTTATTTAACCAGACAGCACTTCTAATTTTGAACTGTTAATAACAAGCAGAGAAGACTGTGCACAGGTTGCTAATACTCTCGGCACTGAATTCTTCCTGTTATTGCTGCTGGAGGCACCTTTACAGTCACAGACACACAGAAATGGACAGTATAAAGGCATAGAGAAAAAGGGAAAACACTCCTCTCATTGCTCTGAGAAGCTATAAAAACACACTGACTCTGCCAGTCACTATTAATTTTAAAGTCAAATAACATGATATGAAAAATGGATAATAGTTTTACAGTCACAGGCTTCTGACAAGTTGGAACATACTGTGATGTAATATATTGCAAAGCACATAGTACTTAGGATAGGAAAAAAATGAGTCTAAACAATGATTCTGCCATGCCATAGGTCTTAATTGCTCTGTGACTTAGCGTCTTCATTCTCAGACTGGCAGTATAGCTTAGTGGCTAGGACAACTGGATTTGGAATTAGGTCAAGCTTAAATTTGAAATCCAAACTCTGCCATGTCCGAGCTGTGTATGATCCTGGTCAAGGACTATAACCTGTCTAAGCCTTGGTTTCCTCATCTGAAAAATGGGGATAACAGTACCCACCTCATAGGGTTGTTGGGAGGACTGAGTGAGATAGTGTCTGTAAAGTGCTTAGCACAGTGCCTGGCACACAGTGTTCAAAAAATGGTCGCTATCATTATCTGCAGAGTAGGGATGATACCACCTATAACACAGGATAGTTATGAGGATTAAATCAAAAACAAGGGAAAGCATCTGGCAGCCTCGGTTGCTCTCTATTTTTTCACTTAGGTATAATCTTTTTAAGTACAAGAAATCCACACATCACGAAACATAACATCACAACTGTAAGATGCTCTAAAGAGGTATTGTAGTTCAACTCCCATATATTAAAAGAGAAGGAATTGAAACCCCAAGAATTTCCATGTCTTGTCAGGGCGCACTGCTTGTCAGTGGCCAAACGAGAACAATGTCTCCCGATTCCATTATGGTGCTTTATCATCACACCATATCCAACTCCATGATGTCTACAGCTCACTTAACCATGAAGTTAATCTTTCCAATGGCACAAAAATATAAAAATAAAGCATGAAATAGACTTACAGCAATAGCTTTTCTTTCACATTATTCCTATAATTCACACTGAAAAAAATATTTCCTCTAAGGTATACAAATTTGTCTCAGATCATACTTTATAAAGCTTTAAAACAAGTGTATGATATTTTTCTCAACCACAAAGATTCTGCCAAGTAAGACAAAGTCATCTGTGGATTTACAAGGCAGAACTGATTGAAAATGGAAGCTGTCTAGGTCCCAAACACTACAGTTGAGAACACAAAGAAAACTTTCCCAAAAGTTTAAGTCATTAAATTTCACCTCTTTATCCATAGCTTTTTTTTTTTTAGCATTACAAAGGATCTGTAAGCATCTCACTAAAATGACTTAGTGTCACAACATGGAATTTAAGAGCCCTCTATAATATTGAGAATACTAGTATTTAAAATTTGTTTTCAATTGAGAAAACCCTTTTAAATAAAGTAACAATAGCAGTTAACATTTGCTGAGTGCTTACCACATGCTTGGCACTGAGTTAAGCATTCTATAAATCAATGACCCTATGAGAAGGTACCAATATTATCCCCATTTTTAAGGGAAGAAACTAGCACACAGAAAGATTAAGTCACTTGCCCAAGGACACACAGCTAGTAAGTGGGAGAGATGAGATACAAATTCACATATTCTGGCTCCACAGCCTGTACTCTTATCTGCTACAGGAACACCAAGCAGAAGACAGACAAAAGTGGTACTGTTCTGGTGGCAGCAGGGGAAGAGTGGTACCACCCTTCCACTATGTTCAAGGATTCTAGAAAACATAAAGAGAATCTATGATTCACCACTATTCCTCATTTTAGGCATGGACTGGAGGAGTGACATGACTTGTTTGTATGGAATAAAAATCAGAATCCTTATCTCAGAAATACTTTGTGGATGCTACTATCTATCTATGGAGAGATCAAGGACCCTTAACTAATTTAGAACAGAAATCTGACTTCTAGGATATTACATTGCACAGATTTTTGTTTAAAAAATTCTAATGGCCATTCTTTCCTTGTACACATACTCCCCTGCTTATCCCCAATAGGATAGGACTAGTGCATCAAATTGCTTATTTATTCACTGTTATTTTAGTAATTTGAACTTACTTAACTTTTCATATATTTAAACCTCATAATACCATCTAAAACTAAGTTCTTTGAGGATGGATGGAGATTTTGAATTATCTTTCAAAAGACCCCCACACAGAAGAAAGCATACAAATAACTGCAGATTTAATAATCTAAGTTTTTTTTTTAACCTTTTCTTGCTACTCATCTATTCAAGAAACTCAACAGACTAGGAAATGAAATAGCCACGAAAAAGTGAAGATAGTTAAGAAAATAAGACAGGAAGATTGATTAAACCACAAACTCCACAACTGACAAGTGAAATAAAACTAAAAATGAGAAAACAGACCTGTCCCCTTTTAATCAGTATTTCTTTTGGTGCCTCTTCTTTTGTTGTGTCTGTGTCCCCTGCAGCATTGTTAGTGTATTCCCAGACCACAATGTCATTCTCAATATCTTTAAGGTTGAAGTTCCCTAAGTTGTTTAGTGAGAATCCTTCAATCTAGGAAAAATTAGATACATAATATTTATTAGAAGGCAGAAATAATTTTATATAAATCAGAGCATATTAATCTTGAAAGGAATTGAAGAAGTTAACTAACATTCATAGCTCTTTGAAAACATAAAATTATGGAATATTTCTGAGATACCTGTAAATTTTAAAGTAAAAAATAAGGTTTTGATGTGCAAAAGAAATGATGACTTTAGGAAATGATTCTTTAGTAAACATTCTAAGACAGTGGTTCTCAACCTTCCTAATTGCCATGTCATATAAATGTAAAAAAGGGGTTGTGAACCATAGGTTAAGAACCACTGTTCTAAGAGAAGGTAACCTGGCTTCGGGAATAAAATTGCCTAGGGCCAAATCTCAGCTCCCTTATATATGAGCTGAATGACCTTAGGTGAGGCAGTTACTCTCTGTATGCATTATGCATGTATACAGAGTCCCATAAAAAGGAATAACACTTAAACTTAATTCATGGGATTGCAGTGATAATAAAATAATGAACATAAGGTACCCAGATACAGGTAGTATCTGCTTATAGTACATAGTAATTGCTCAAATAAATAGCAGAAATTGTTACTACAGATAGTAAGGGAATGCAACTGTAAAATGAGATCTTCTCATTTAGAAAATAATTTTAAATACTATTTATTCCGGTTAAGTTGGAAATTTCCTAAGTAAATTTTATGTTCTATTAATGAATGCTAATGCAAAAGAAAATAGTCTGGGTTCAAACAGTCTGAGAGTTTTTTTTTTTTTTTTTGAGATGAAGTCTCACTTTGTCGCCCCTCGGTAGAATGCCATGGTGTCATAGCTCACAGCAACTTCAAACTCTTGGGCTCAAGTGATCCTCTTGCCTCAGCCTCCTGAGTCTAGCTGAGACTACAGACACCTACCATAATGCCCAGCTATTTTAATTGAGAGATGGTGAACAGAATTAAATAGCTTAGCTTTCTTTCCTGCATCAAGGGATTTATCACAGCCTTTAAGCCAGTTACCATCAATCAAAATAAACATGGGACAAAGTGAAGATTTGGTGTCACATTTCCTAAATGTATTTCCATACCAAATAAATGGACTACCTCACTGGTTTAGCAGATTGAGCAATCCTTCTAAAACACAAGATGTCACGTTGCTTTCCTGATCAGCGGTTTCCTTCTTACTCAAGATGAAATACACAGTCCTTCCAGGGTCTACATCAGGCATCATCAAACTATGGCCTGCGGGGCCACATACAGCCCACCTATGACATTTATCCGGCCAGCTGGGTGTTTTTGCTGCCGCTGCCTGTCCTGCTTAGCAGCCAACTCGTCCTGGGGCCTGCAGTCCGGCCCTCCAACGGTCTGAGGGACAGTGAACTGGCCCCTTGTTTAAAAAGTTTGAGGACCCCTGGTACATAATCAGGCCCTTTGCTACTTCTCTGATCCTTCTTCCATCCTCCTTGGTCAGAACTGACATCTGCTATTCCCTCTGCTTGGAATGCTCTTCCCCTAACACTCACTCTCCCTCGCTTTATTTAGCTCCGTTCAAATATCTTCTCTTAACAGCTCTCCACTTTTCACTCTCTGTCCTTCCTTAATCTGGCTTATTTTTCCTCAGAGCAATTATCACCACTAGCCTCTTGCCTGACTATGTAAATTCAAAGGCAAGGATTATTTTGTTTACCACTCTAACCCTAGCACCCACAATAGTGCAGCTTAGTAAAAGAAAAGCTCAGTAAAGATTTCCTGACTGACTTGAACTATTCTTCCATGGAAAAGGTGTGATGACAAGGTTTGAGTATGGCATTTTGTCAAGTTTCCTCTCCATGCTAGGTGTGATGTAAGCTGAAGATATTTGCCACAAATGCTTAGTTTCCTTCTACTCCTAGTTTGTAGAGTTTTTACTGTGAGTATGGAATTTTGTCAAGTTTCCCCCCATACTAGGTGTGATGACTTCCATGGTTGGAGGTATGTTTTCAATATTTTCTTAATGTGGTGGCTTGCTTCTTTGCTTTCTTAACAATATTTTTTGAAAAGCTAGTTTTAAAGTTTAATAAAGTTTAATTTGTCAATATTGTTCTTTATTGATAATGCTGTGTGCTTTTAATAGTCTAAGAAATCCTTGCTACAACAATTTTCTTCTATGTTTTCTCCTGGGAGTTTTATGGTTTTCAACATTTTGAGTTAATTTGGGGGCATTTTGTAAGGTAAATTTTTAATACTCATTTTTTTCTTAGGGACATCCAGCTTTCCCTGCATTATTTGTTGAAAAGTTTTCTTTTCAACCAACATACTTAATCTTATAATCCACAAAAACTTAGTATAGTTTTACATTTATTTATGTCTTAATTTTCTCAGCAATATTCTACAATTTTCAGTTTAGAAGTTTTTGCACATTTTCTGTTAAATTAATTCTTAAATACTGTATGTTGTCTGACACTATTTATGGAATTCTAAAAACATTTTCAAATTGCTATTAATATGTGAAAGTATACAATTGATCTTGCATATTTATTTTGTTTCTATTATCTTCCTAGATTTATTAGTTCTAGGGGTTGTTTTGTACTTTTCTGAAGATTTTCCATGTAAATAAATGTTCTCTGCAAATAATGTTTACTTGTTTTAGATTCTTATGACTTTTTCTTTTTTCTTTATTGCAATGGTAAGAACTTCCTGGAAATGTTAAGTAGGAATCAGTAAGGGGGGGATTCTTTTTCCCTTTCCAGTAGTATAGGGAAAATATCCAGTAACTCTCCATTAAGTATGATGTTAGCTGAAGATATCTGCCACAAATGCTTAGTTTCCTTCTGTTCCTAGTTTGCAGAGTTTTTATGGTGAGTATGGAATTTTGTCAAGTTTCCCCACCATATCTACTAATAATCATATGGCTTTTCTCCTTTATCTTGTTAAGATGGTAAATTATATTTATTTTAAAATGCTAAGTCAACACTATGTTCCTAAAGAAATCCCACTTGCTTATGATATATCCTTTTTGTCTATTTTTTCAGTTGACTTATTAATATTTTGCTGAGTTTCAGCATTCATGCTCATGAGATAATTTGGTACATAGCTTTTCTTTTATAACTGTGTCTGGTTTTGATATCAGGGCAATTCCAGTCTCCAATTTCTCTTATCCTATTTTCTGACAGAGATGTATAGAGTTGGCATTATTTCTTTCTTAAATATTTGACAGAATTCACCAGTGAAGCCATTGGGCTTAGAGCTTTTCTTTGTAGTGAAGTTTTTAATCATAAATTCAATTTCTTTAGTGGTTATAGGGCTATTCAGGTTATTTTCTCTTGAATTTTTTTGCATTTAATCTGATTGTAAGGAATATGCCTGTTTTACACAGGTTTTCAAATTTATTGGCATAATTTTATTCATAACATTCTTTTTAGAATCTATTTATTGATTTTATTTTTATCTGTATTATTTCCTTTCTTCTACCTATTTTGGATTTATTTTCTTCTTTTGATTTCCCATTTTTTTTTTTTTGTAGAGACAGTCTCACTTTATCACCCTTGGTAGAGTGCCATGATGTCATAGCTCACAGCAACTTTCTCTTGGGCTTAGGCAATTCTCTTGCCTCAACCTCCCGAGTAGCTGGGACTACAGGCACTTGCCACAACACCTGGCTATTTTTTTCTTGCAGTTTGGCTGGACAACACTACAGTTTGAACCCGCCACCCTCAGTATATGGGGCTGGCACCCTACTCTCTGAGCCCCAGGTGCTGCCCTGATTTCCCACTTCTTTAGCTAGAACTTTAGGTCACTGATCTTAGACCCTTTTTCAACTCACGTACTTAAACCTATAAATTTTCCTGTGAACACTATTTTAGCTGCGTTTCACCAATTTGGTATTTTTATCATTCAGCTCAAAATACTGTCTAATTTCCAAAATGACCTCTTTGACCTAGTGATTACCTAGAAGTACACTACATTATTGCCAAATATGTATGATTTTCCTAAATAGTGATCTCTCTATATAAATTCAAACTTAATCTACTGTGGTCAAAGAATATACTATGATTTTAGTAATAAAACTTACAGGTGCCCACCATTACACCTGGTTATTTTTTAGAGACAAGATCTTCCTCTGGTCTCGAACTCGTGAGCTCAGGCAATCCACCTGCCTAGGTCTCCCAAGTACTGGGATTACAGGTGTGAGCCACCACGCCCGACCCTGAATCAGCCTATCTTGGTGAACTGACCACATGCACTTGAAAAAAATGTGTTTTCTGGAGTTCTTGGGTGTAATGTTCCCTAAGTATCAATAAGGTCAAGATAGTTAATAATGGCTATCAGATCCCTTACACCTAAAATGATTTTTTGTTTAGCCAACACAAGCATCAATTGTTGAGAGGGGTGTTAAAATCTACTTTGATGGTGGAATGGATTCCTTCAATTTTTGCTTCATGTATTTTGGTGGTCTCTTAATAGGTGCAAACGTTTATGAATGTTTTATCTTCAGACGAGTTGACCTTATCATAATAAAATATATTTTGTTGGCTCGTTGCCTGTAGCTCAGTGGCTAAGGGCCACATACACCGGAGCTGGCAGGTTCATAGGCATGCCAAGCAACAATGACAACTCCAACCAAAAAATAGAGAATGTTGTGGTGGGCACCTGAAGTCCCAGCTACTTGGAAGGCTGAGGCAAGAAATTCACTTAAGCCCAAGAGTTGGAGGTTACTGTGAGCTGTGATGCCACAGCACTCTACCAAGGGCAACAAGTGAGACTCTATCTCAAAAAAATATATATTTTATCTTTGGTAATACTCTTCTCTTGAAATCTATTTCATCTGACATTAATGCAGCCTTTCCACATTCTTTGGTTATACTATTATTATATTTATTTTAAAAATCTATTTTTTTAATCCATTTGCTTTTTAACCTTTATGTCTTTACATTTTAATTGTATTTCTTCAGGACAGAATATAGTTGGTCTTGCTTTTTTTTATTCATTCTAATACTTTATAAATCTTAATATGAGTACTTAGTCCACCAATATTTAAAA